GAGTTAATGTGAAAGAAATTCGGACGCGGATTTATCTCATTTACTTAGACTCTTAGTATAGGAAGCCCACGATCAGGTGTAATTTATGATTTTGTTCAATTTGTGTAAATAAATGATTGCATAATCTTTTATGAATCAACTTGAACTCGTCTGACGTTCCCTCATTGTGTCACTTCACTTTGCACAGACAAATATTAAAGTAATGAGGAAAACCTTGGTAAAATTTTACTCTCATAACTTAGTTATGGGAAGATGTAAGGTGGGCTTATTTGCATAAGTAACCCCCCCTTACAAAATAAACTGTTGAATTTACGAAGCAAACTGGATCCATTAAGCCAGGTTGAGTAAATTGAGTAATATATGTATATTATTTACTCAATTTGCTCAACTAGGCTTAGTGGAGCCAGRMGACATGACTTTGTTGAGTAAATTCAACTCTTCATTTTTTAGAGTGCAGAAATATCTTTCATGATGAGTTCAGATAGATTTAATATTGTAACGAGTAACTATGTGTTACATTTTAAAGTAAAGAAGTAAAAGTAAAAAGTTTAGCTTTGAATTTAACAAAATAAAAGTAAAAGTAGCTAATTAAAAATAATTGGTAAAATTACAAATCCTCAAAAAAAACTACTTCAGTACTGTAAAAAGTAAATGTACTTAGTTACTATAAATTTCTGGCTGTGTAATATGAATTAAGATAATGTATGATGGTGAGATTTTAATGCCATATTAGGAGCTGAAATTCATTAAATTCAATGCATCACTAATGCTGGAAAGTTCACTTTCTCCTGCACTTTGTACAACATGCAAAATATTTGTAAGAATCTAAGTTTATTCAAAAGCCTGGTGTAAATCTGCAGGATGGATCATAAAGTTGTTTTTTGATTAGGAGGTTTGAATGAACATGATACACTCATACTTCTTCCATGATGCAAGGTCTGCATACTGCAGCAGCGTTATGTGGCCTGGCCTGACAGTGATGACAGCATGATTAATGCCCAACGCCATTCCCACTCACACTGATTCACACAGTGGGCCCATGTAGCCTAAGAAAAACCTAAATAAACTACCCACTGAGCCAACTTACAGAGCATTGGCAAGAACACTCAAAACTGTTAGGATCTGGGGTTTTTTTGGTCTTGTTAGGGCAGTTCCTTTCAGTTTTTCCTGTTTAGTCATACTTGTGTCCTTTTATGTTCCTATTTCATAAGTCTTTACTTTTTTGTGCCACGAGCCACTTTTCTCACAGTCAGTGCTTTTCCAATCAGCCTGCCTCACCCAACATTCTTCCCTGTTTCATGTTTACAGCAGGAGTCACTCTGCTCAGCCACATATTCTCTCATTCAGCAGGATGTCCAGGGTCTTTTAAATGGTAATCTGAAAGTGTTTGAATTTTCTTTGTTGTTTGTTTTTTTATGAGGATGTCCCTTTAAAAGCTCATTTCTAATATTTTGATTAAAAAATATCTAAACCATTATTCATMATATCTATATAATCTATAAATACGTATATATGACTTAGTTTCTCATAATAAGGACTTAGAGGATATTTATTAGAGTGGCAAGAATAAGCTTCTATGTATTTTTTCAAATGTTCAAAGTTATATTAAGATTACTAAAATCTGGATTACAGTAAATTGTCACAGGCTTGCTGATAAAATTCAGATACAGGAAGAGTTTTTTTAACTTAATAATTGGTAGGTTCAGTAAGCGTTTTTGAAATATTTGCTGAATTTTGTCAATGTCATCCGGCCATAAAACTATTAATATCCTCTACATGTTGGCAGTGAAAGGTGAGGCTGTTTTTGATCTCCAGCTTTGTCCTTTTAATGTTTGATTTTTGCAAGTTGAAGATCAAAACTTCCACTTCCCAAATGCACGACAGGACTATCTTCGATGGTAAATACTGCATAGCAGAACAACTATCTTGTGCCTATGTGATGGACTAGTTTTACAACAATACACAGTAGAATATACTTCAAGCCTTTTATTAAAAAAACATTTTTAAATGAATTTAGGAGGTTCAATGCTGTGTGAGCATATTATTATGTGCAAAACACAACGTTTGTTATGCTTTAAATCAGCAAAACTGACAATAAACTTCAAGAAATGGAACACTTTTGCTAGAAGAACACTGGTCTCATCTTTAGGCCCTACAACTAAAATAAAAAATACATACTGGATATCAGCCCACAACAAAATGAGTCTAAATCTGCCAAAGTATTAAAACATTTTGTGGTTTGTTCAACTCTCACCAGTCAAAAAGGGAGTTTCTGGAGAGACYCTGGATGTGAGGGAGCGCCTTTTGAAACTACCTTTGTTAACCTCACCACATTCATTAATCTCCATAAGCAGCCATAAAAGAGCCTGTGTGGAGGATGAAGAGGATGCCTGGCTCCGGTTCCTGGCAGTAGCCAAGAGGAAGAGGAATCACAGGTTGGCATAAACGATTCCATGCCAGTCAGTGCCAAGACAAGCGATCAGGCCACAAAGACAAAACACCTCGAACTGACGGAAAGTATTTCCAGACTGCCAAGTCTCAAGGCAAACCGAGAACAGCTTTACAGGAACCATGGATTAAAACAGCATTCTGGGTTTGCCTGTCTCCAATTGTGTATTTGATGCAATCGCTTTGTGTGAAATCCCATCAAATTTGAACCAAGTGACAGCAACACAGTTTTTAGCAGTTTTCAAGGTTTACATACGTAACCATTTATTCAATGTTTCCTGCAGTCACAAATATTTCTTTGTGTGCTAAAACCRTGTCAGTGTTAACATAACCAAATGACTTAGGTTAGTCTCACGTAATCTCTTATTTTAGTTCACAAAACGAGCTTTTAAAATTTTTTTAATCAGCTGAAGAAGGATTTCAAAATGAAGATGGATGTATTGTAATACAGCAGTCCATAATCCCCAGCACTGATAGTTGTACTCGATGCACCATCCATGTGTTACTGGCTGCAAACTGTTTCACAGAAAGAGTTTGTTGAAGCAAAGCGAACAGTAAGGCTTCCCTTTCTGCTCCTTGAAGATGCCCTGGCTGAGCTGCCGTAGACAGAAGGCACACACAAAGTGCTCGGGGTGAAACTTGCGCTCCAGAGCAGAGATGCAGCGGCCGGTGACGGGCTCACCGCAGCCGCCGCACAGAGTGCCCTGCCTCGAGTGAAAGTCCAGAGCACAGAGGGGTCGACCGTCCAGCTCCATGAAGCAGCCGTTGGTAAATGGCTTCAGGCAATCCTGGAGAGAAAAAGCAGAAGAAGATTAAAAAAGTGATGGAAGGAGCAATCAACTTTTTGAGTTTTATATCATGTTATAAAGTTATACTATCATATAAAACATGCTCAAAGCCTTGCTTTGACTCATTAATGCYTGTTTGAGAAATCCTGCAGCSTTTTTTGTCAAACATGCTGAGGAGCAAAACGACAGGTGGAGACCAGAAAGGCCTTGTGGTACCAGGAACACCCCTGGGACGTGTCTTTAAGCCGAACTTCCTCATGGCAGAGCGCCCTGCCCCTCCCCCCATCCCCACACACCCCGCCTATGACTCCTGCCGGCTTGGTGAAAGTGAAAGTGAAACTTTAACTGTCTCCTGAGCTCTCAACACTACTCTCACTAATTGAAGCTCTTTTCAGATTAAAAATACCTTTGAGGAAATGTATTTTCAGTTGCCAAGTAAACTGCATCATGGCAGCCCCCGAGCATGACCCCTCCCCCGGCGAGACAGAAGCAGAAGGTGGTTCTTAAAGAGACAGAGGCCAATTTCAAGGCGTTTAGAAGGTGAAGTCATGAGAAGATAAGTTTATTTTCTATTTAAACATAAAAACAGCATTTTAATAACAGCTAAAGGTGACATAGATACTTTATTATGGTATAGTATTTAAATGTARGCCTGAGAAACACATAATATTGCCCCTTTAAAAATGTGTTCAAGTTAAAAACTAAGATATACAATAATACAGCAGGGTCACTGAATTTATCCTAAATATAATTACAGATCTTTTTCTTGATGGGCTTTTTGTCATTCTGTGGCAGTAAAAGCCCAGGTGCAGCTCTTAACATTGCGTTTCATTTATTAGGTGCTGGTGCTCCAGCGGTGAGAACACAAGCACAACTCTAGGGCCATTTGGATCAGCTGTGGAACAAATAAAACCAGTAGCTCTTATTAGTAAGTTAGCTAGATGAAATAAAGGTACTAAACATTTGTGATGCTTCCTAAAACCATTCCACTAAAAATCTGTGAAATGTTTGATCATTTGACTTTTTTTTTTAATTCCAAAAACTAGATAACCACTTTGCAATAAATCTTTTCAACAACTTTGCCACCAGAGGAGCCGGAGCTTATTACTGGGAGGTCGGAAGCAATTGACTCACCCAACAAAAAGCTTTATGAGTGAGATAAATGAGCTGCAGTGAAACTAGATATGATGAGAAAAAAATGTAGGAACTTATTTTGTCTTTCACACATTAGATCTAAACAGTTTTTACAACCGTCTAATGTTCAGCCCATCCTATTGTTGGATATTTTGTGACTGATTAACTGGATTTTAGCTACAGTATTATATTTTATACTTTGTGATCGATTGTCATATACTTTGAACTGTAAAGAGAGGTGTTTTTTTTTTTTTTTTCGCTTTGCTCCGGTAGTGTAAACACATTTTACAATTCAGGAAAGTAGACCCGTTTTAAGGGTACTTCCTTGTTTATTTTTTACACTTTGGAAACATTTAATGGTAAATAATTATTGGTGTTTTAATGTTTTGTGTAAAGACGTTGATGGGTTTAAAATAATAAGTTTGATTTTTTTTTAAGTGGGGTTCTGCATTTAAAATCTAGGTAAACACTTTATCAATGGTTAGAGAATGTTTGAGTTGACTATGATTTTGGCCTGTTTTCTATAAGTGAAAAAGAACTTCAGGGTTTTGTCTACATTAACAGTTAATTAAAGAAGCATAAATAGTCTTCACTTTGGAAGGGTTCACAAAAAGATATAACTACCTAGCAATTGCCTTAATGCTCTGCAGAATGAGTATACAGTCAATTCAAATGTTCGCTAACCATTAATACATGTCTGACACATGGTGTGAAAGTACATTTATATGAGCATACATATACACACAGTATATAAAATAGTTAATTCATGAGTTATTAAGCATGAATAAACAATGAGTCTGTTGGTTTGAAAGTGATTAGCCTTTATGGCTAATAAATGTGTCAATTTAGCTTATTAAGTATGAATCATTCGTAATGATGTTTTCAAGGTTTACAAACCATTTAAGTAAGACTAAAGTTGTAGTTATTAAAAAGTGCTACCAAAGTCTGACTAACTTGAAAAGCTAATGGTTAATTTAAAAAGAGTTCCGCTCGGACTAGCCACTACGTGTCAATTCTTTCAGAATCAAACTGTATTTTTCCATAAGGTCATTTACAACCCTATCTACATCAGGTAAGATGTTATTTGTTCCTAAAATTTCCAAATAACCACCAAAAACATCATTTTAAAATGTTTAATGTATTTGTTTGGGGTGTTTTTTTTAAGTATTTCTTTTTTAAATATTTCTAAGAGCTTTTTCTCTTTCATATATTGAGGTATAAAGTGCAATTGAACAATATTTGACCAGCTGTTGTGCACATAAGTTGCTTTGAGAAAGATAAAGACAAAGATAAAAAAGATATCCTCACAGCTTCATTTATCTGCATCATTTCAACTGCAACACACTCATCAGGCATATGGTTTTCATCAGGCCTGCGGTCAGGACGATGCAAACAAAGCAAATGTGTGGGTATCTTTCTCATTCATTCTCAGGCTTGTATGCAAGCCAGAGCTGTGTGTGTGTGTGTGTGTGTGTGTGTGTGTGTGTGTGTGTGTGTGTGTGTGTGTG